CATTTGGTTTTACCGATAACGATTTTATATATTTGACGTCACCCTGGCAGTAAAAATATGGGTACGGTAATGCACTTTTCTAGGCCGCATGTTCATTTTTAATCGTGTTGAAAAAACTTGTAACTTTTTGTTTGGTGGTGTTATCACCTCACGGTGACCTGCTACGATAACAAACCGGAATTTTCACAGTTGCACCTTAAAACAATGAACCAGTTACCCTGAACGCGATGAATCATCTTCGGAAGACAATGAGTGTTGGCCTGTTTTGTAAACAATTCTTTGTCTGGGACCATGCACGGCGCACAGGAAATATAACAGGGCGCTGACAATTTACACAGGGCGCCAATTTCAGATAACAGGGCGCAGCGCCCTGTAAAAACCCCTCGTGGAGAACCCTGAGCTGCCGACCCTTTCTCTCTATTGATTCACAGTAGCTTGTGTTACATCAAAATTTTACATTTTGTTTTGTATTAATTTGAAGTCTTATACTATTGAAACAACAACCCATTCCCTTTATTTTTAAAAATATTTAATATTAATTATTCAATTGTTTGTGTAGATTACAAATGCCTCTCCAATAAAAATGCTTACAAAGTATAACCCCAAAAACACATATTTGCTGAACTGAATCATTTATGTGCTATGTAATAGAGCAAATACAGTATATGCTGAACTGAATCATTTATGTGCTATGTAATAGAGCAAATACAGTATATGCTGAACTGAATCATTTATGTGCTATGTAATAGAGCAAATACAGTATATGCTGAACTGAATCATTTATGTGCTATGTAATAGAGCAAATACAGTATTTGCTGAACTGAATCATTTATGTGCTATGTAATAGAGCAAATACAGTATATGCTGAACTGAATCATTTATGTGCTATGTAATAGAGCAAATACAATGCTGAACTGAATCATTTATGTGCTATGTAATAGAGCAAATACAGTATATGCTGAACTGAATCATTTATGTGCTATGTAATAGAGCAAATACAGTATTTGCTGAACTGAATCATTTAAATGTTATTTTTAACATTAAAACACTATGTGCTATGTAATAGAGCAAATACAGTAGATGCTTAAAAGTTTTATTTATATTTTTAACATTAAAACACTATGTACTATGTAATAGAGCAAATACAGTATATGCTTAAAAGTTTTATTTATATTTTTAACATTAAAACACTATGTGCTATGTAATAGAGCAAATACAGTAGATGCTTAAAAGTTTCATTAATACTTTTTAACATTAAAACACTATGTGCTATGTAATAGAGCAAATACAGTAGATGCTTAAAAGTTTTATTTATATTTTTAACATTAAAACACTATGTACTATGTAATAGAGCAAATACAGTATATGCTTAAAAGTTTTATTTATATTTTTAACATTAAAACACTATGTGCTATGTAATAGAGCAAATACAGTAGATGCTTAAAAGTTTTATTTATATTTTTAACATTAAAACACTATGTGCTATGTAATAGAGCAAATACAGTAGATGCTTAAAAGTTTTATTTATATTTTTAACATTAAAACACTATGTGCTATGTAATAGAGCAAATACAGTAGATGCTTAAAAGTTTTATTTATATTTTTAACATTAAAACACTATGTGCTATGTAATAGAGCAAATACAGTAGATGCTTAAAAGTTTTATTTATATTTTTAACATTAAAACACTATGTGCTATGTAATAGAGCAAATACAGTATATGCTTAAAAGATTCATTTATATTTTTAACATTAAAACACTATGTGCTATGTAATAGAGCAAATACAGTAGATGCTTAAAAGTTTCATTAATACTTTTTAACATTAAAACACTATGTGCTATGTAATAGAGCAAATACAGTATGTATGCTTAAAAGTTTCATTTATATTTTTAACATTAAACACTATGTGCTATGTATAGAGCAAATACAGTAGATGCTTAAAGTTTCATTTATATTTTGCAAGCCTGTGAGATACAATCCATTGACAAATATATACACCGTCAAATGTTAAGATTGTTGATGGGTATTTGAAATTAATTAGAAATTAACTAAAGGGTAATTACTTTAAGCAGTCCTTTAGTAAACAATAAACACTCACTGAGTAAGGAGGTTTTGTTTGTACTTCAAGGTCAGTTACATTGTAGTTAAGTTTGTCCATGGTGATATTACAACCCTTTGCTGTCAAAATTAATAAGGGCAGGATATCTACTTTTAATATATTATATTTTTTTGCAAAACATTTTATGTTAGCTTGTTCTGTGAGTGATGTTTCAAAAATTTGCAAAGTGAACATGGACTAAAAGACAGAGAATGAACAATTCCTGGCCCCATATGTGATTGATTGATTGAATAAATGAACAAATGAATGAATGAACAAATATTGATTGCATCTTTTTAAAATTGACACTAAAGGTAGTTCTATAGCCTGGGACAAGTACAATTGACATAAGGGCAACTGACTATAACTCACTTACCTTAACCATGGAGGTAACTATCTTTTACCTCCATGTCTTAATTGACAATAATAAATAAATACACCACAACAAAAATTTCTGACAAGTGAGTTGAAAAGTGAACATCAAACTCTTTTTAATGTGACATGTTTTAAATCAAATATTAATAATTAATGTCACTAAAAAGGATAGTTAGTTTGAAACTAATTGTCTTTTTTTGACAAGCACAGACCTAAATTTGTCAGCCATAGCGTAGACTATTGTCACAAGGTGAGATTTAAAAATCAATTATCATTTTTGTCAGGTCTGTCAGTGATTGAACATTATTC